GTTAGTGTGCGCGGGATGGGATGAATTAACTAAAATTAAACTTCCTGCGATACACGCATCTAGTGGAGATTTGTGAATCTAATACAATGACCACGGTGGTCTGTAATTTATGACCTGTCTAATAAAACCATCGAAAATGATCCGACAAGCCGAGGAGTTCGAATGCGTTTCCTTCTGCCAAACTCTGCCAACAATCAACGCTAAAGCAAAAAACATCGCAATTTGTAATGTTCGCGTCTGAAATAATGGAATGTATGCTGTAGAATGTATAGGAAATATATATATAAATGTTTTGTGGATTTTATGCAGTTTTTAAACGTTGATTTGAAATGTAATTTATCTGGATAACTATATATTGCTTCAATGATGGATTCGGAAAAAAAACCAATTATGACAAATGATCGACTTCCCGTTTTGCTCCGCGATATCCGTCTGCCTTTCTGCGCCACAATCTATGACATTTTTGATCTAATTTGTTCCCCCAAAAGAAAAATGATGCAATGTAATTATATTTATATCAAAAATAGAATCAATTTACTTTTTTATTACATTTAAATGATATTGAACAGCATTTGTCAAAATTAAGTTTAAGTCCATTTTTTGAGCAGCAATCAATAAAATTTAAAAATGCTGTTGGAAGTATTTTTGTGTCCTTTTCATTATTAATTACAAGGTACAGCTTGACATCGTAGGCTAGTAAAGAGCAAGAAGTTTATATTCTGAGGGAGATAAGCAGCGATAACATTAATAAAGATGCGCAATAATAGAGGACTTAAAGGAAAACCCTAAGGCATTCCAGATTTTGCGTCGATAAATTTAGAAAAGGAATTATTAACTTTTACCTAAAGCTATCCACCATGAAAATAAATATGAAACCATAACAATATGGCTCCATGAAAGCTCAGAACATTAAATTTTGATAAAAGCAAATGTCCAATTTAAAAAAAAATTATATATGTAGTAATATAATGAAATTTATCGTTTTGTAGTTAACATTTTACATTTCATACAAGTTTGCATGATTCCCTACTCCTAACAATGTATGTATAGTTGTACCAACATTAAAATATTTAGCAGTTTTATTTACATACAAGCAGGAATGACGACAGCTAGTCCACTTTATATATATTTTCTTCAATGGCCACAGTGACAGCCTCTTTGGCTGAAACGACCGCTTTAAAAGATAATATTCTAAGAGACAAGGACAGAATGAGGATATAATGAGTATTATTCATTGTTAATTAACAGTACTGTAAAATTTTGTTTTTGCCTAAAATGGCTAAGTTAAGCTACAAGCTTGTTTTTAGTTTTTGACAATTTTTGCCCTCTATTTAATTTAAACCGAATTGCTGACATTGTATGTTAGAGTTTGTATAGCTTCTTCAGAACTACTACTAATTGCCCAGGAAACTTTTAGCGTCGAAATCCGTTATGAAAAGTGTGAAAATAGCGTTAAGTTTATTTTAATGACGTTAAATATAACGGTAACATTGAAATAGCGTAAAGGTTAGGCTTTCTTTCTAAGCTTTCTTTTTCAGTTTTATAAATACTACAATCGTCATTAGATCAGAATGGCTTACCCATTTTTCCAAGGTACACCCAACACGATCTTTACTCAAGCGCAGTCCCAATTCGTTTCGATGAATTGAACTGTTCCATCGAAAGTTATGCCCTCCTTGTGTTATGTAATAACTGTCGTCATTTTATTAAAACGGGGAATTCCATTTAATATGATAAAACACCGGACAAGGTAGCAGCCTTAATTTTATTTCCCCTTTCGTCGCAAGAATGTTTAATGTATGAGTTTGCACAGACGACCCAGGGAGAAAATCAAAGTGGGATATTACCGGTCGTCTTTCGTCTGTTTGAAATGAAGTTTAAATAGAAATTTTTAATATAACATCCGAAGCGGAGATGTGTAACTACCGAAGTGGTATAAATTTTCCTTCTCGTTTTTATTCGAGCCGTAACGAAACTCAGTTGACAGTTTATTCGGGGGGAAAAAGACAAAACAAATCGATTGCTGCGTGTCGGCGTTGCCAGCCTCTTGTATAACTTATTCGAAAACTACCCGTGATATGAAGACTAGCAGGGGACGAGGGCAAAAATGGTGACAGAGAGAGAGAGAAAGAGAGAGTGAGGTACAATTCTCGAGGGGCGTCCCCCGTTCTCCCCTAAGGGACCGCAAGGTCCTGGTAGGACATATACCTCGCCCCACTCATCATCAAGTAACAAGCCTGCATAAAATGAATAGGATATAAAAATTCAAGCTTCCGGCAAAGTTATTCTGCCGAAATCCCCGGCTTGCCCGCAATATTTCTTCGCTGCCGTGCCTGGATTTTTTCCATTTTTACTTTAGGGTACACACGTTGATTTGAGTGAAAAAACCATACCGCATTGTTATATTTGCCGTCTTTTTAATGATATTATAATACAAACCATGTTATAATTTATTTCCGCATTATTTGTAAAACGTTTGATAATATCAATTCGTGCTTCCGGCAAAATAATTTACCTAAAAGACTGCCATATCGATTACTAAGATTTCTTCACCACTGTGTTAATTCTGATTTCAAAAAATCAGTTTCTGTCAATATAAACAGTAAACCCAATGTTCTTTCGTTTCGGCCCTAAAAATTGTCGTTTTGATTCATTTATTACATTTAACGTTAAACATACGTTTTTTATATGTATACTATCTAAAAACCACGCCACATTTGACATAAAGAGACCAAAATAATCGAAACAGACCAAATTTATATTTTTCTTTTAAGTACTAACTTATGAAACCTTTCGAGACTGAAACCCTCTCACTCAGACTCTCTCTCTCCTCTCTCTCTCCCTCTCTCTCTCTCTCTCTCTCTCACTCACTCTCTCTCTCACTCACTCTCTCTCTCATTCACTCACTCTCTCTCTCTCTCTCACTCTCTCTCTCTCACTCTCTCTCTCTCACTCTCTCTCTCACTCTGTGTGTGTGTGTGTGTGTGTGTGTGTGTGTGTGTGTGTGTGCGCGCGCGTGTAAATCGTGCTTAAGGCGTTATATCCTCAAAATAGTAACAACAATGTGGGAAGTTTAGGGGCGGACAAACAGATAAGGGCATTGCCGGCCCTCTGCCTGTTTTTACTTCTTTTTGCAGCCATTTGAGCGTCTCGATCTATACTGACTCTGCTTTCATATAAAAACTAAGTTGAACTAAGCTAAGGTTTACTAAGTTGAACTCGCCTGAGGTACCCGGTATAATTTTTCTCCAAAAATACGTAAATTAATCACTTATTAATAAAAATAAACTAGACTGAAAACTATTAAACACGTGTTTTTTACAGCGGCATTGGGCATTGGTTCAAGAAAAAGTCAGCCAGGCCATCTAAAATGACACCCTGTGTATATTTTTCTTCTTCTTTTACTGAAAGGTTACAGATTTTGGTCATTCAACCAATTTTGAAAAACCAATTTTGCGCAAATTCTATGTACCACGGGTCAAATCTGTTTACTGAACGAAAAATTTTAGTTATAGAAATGAGAGGTCAAATAAATTTAGACCATTTTGGTATGCCACGAGGCGGCGGATAAGCGTACTATATGGCCTTCTGACAGTAAAGATTATTTAAAAACCAGGATTAAAAAGAAACGACAGCATCGGTGGGACGGCCCATCAAGGCCTCTGTTGACATGGTCCAAGTCTGAATGGAAGAAGACGGATCATATTCACCCATCTAAAAATCGGCCATGCGAGGTTGACACATGGACATTTACTTTTGGGCCAAAGCACAGGAATGTGTCTGGCATGGAGAAAAACTTTGGACTATTTAACTGTAGGGTATCATTCTTTGACTTCTTAAAGTTTGACTCTCCAGTGTGGCGTCCAATATGAAAATAGTGCTTGAGCTCGGCAGCGAATATATTGGGAGGACGTTATTTTTGGAGGAAACATGGCTGTTTTCTTGTATATATATGTAGTATGTGCTTTATAGATATCTAGTTTTGAATTCATGGTTTTTGTGTTGAGATTGAATGTATTTATTAGCGTTGAAAACTCATTCTCACTATCACTCACTCTTAAATACATTCTTTTCAATTTACACACCATTCACTCAGAGTGGTGGAGTACTTGATATTCCTCGATCAGCCTCCACACATCCATAATAAACAAATAATCTAATTGAGGGTCTAATAATATAGTGTACTCAATATTCTGACATCGGCCATCTGATATTACACATTCACGCTAATAAATACATACTCTCTCAATGTACACAAAGGAACTGAAAACGAGATACCTACAAATATTATAACCAGTAAAATATTCCTGTTCCCTCTAAAAAACCTAACAGAGAACCGAAGTACTCGCTACCCTCTCACAATTGTCATATTGGTTGGCATTTCTACGCGCTTTCTAAACGGAGCCAAAAAATAGCACCCGTTAATTATGTGAACACATCGTGCAACCTTTCTCTACACACCTGACTAATATGCGGAATTTGGCCAAAAGCGTCCGTGTGTCAACCGATGAGGTTATCCCTCTTATATGATTCAGATCCTCCACTGTTTTTTACACATCCGGTGCTCCGCCGTACCTTAGGGAGACCCTATCTATTCAGGCGGACCACGCCAATTAACTAAAACTTTTGTTCCGGAAAAGAGGCTTTTATACTTAACGCCTTCCTTAGGATCTACCTGTGTAAAGGTGCGGCTAAGGAAGGTAAAGTGTGGTTTCCTTTTTACATATGTTTTGGGTTAAATAGTATGCTAATATATGATCACCCCTTGATAGCATCCCGCTTACAAATAATTCACTCTAGCCCAGATTAACCTAACTTAAGCAGGCACTAATTGATGATTCGCTATAAACTATATACATGAATACATTTTTACATAAATACACTATATTCACAAGTAAGTTAATTATTGATAATAAATAAGTAACATACATCATTAAACCGAGGGCCACCTTTTGAAGTGAATTCAGATTATTTTTTAATTAAATGAGTTATTCACTTACATACAATCGGGTGTTCATTATCGTTTGCACGTACCTGAAAATTTATTTATAATTAGATAAGATTAAACAAATACATAATAGTGTAGTAATTATAATAATAAACAAAATAAAGATTAAATACTTCAATTATAATAATGTTAGATGGAGGATAAATATGTTAGTTGCTGATAATATTTGTATTTCTCGTTTAGGTGATTTCAAATCAAGATAGTACTATTTGTTGGTTTATTTGGTCTACCACTCACGTTTTTCACGGAAATATTAACTGTTTATTTTGTAAGCAAAGGTTTATTATATAAACCCTTTATCACTAATAATGTATAAGTAGTAAAATAATTAATATATAAACGGTGATTTTAATTTTTTTTTAAATGCAATTTTTTGTTGCCTTAAAAGTTAAAATAATATAGCCTTTAATTGTCTGGCGGAGAAGGCATGTGGTCTTCTAAATAAGCTTGAAAGTAGGAATAAAAACATAAACACATTCTCGAGTGAACATTCCAGAAACCGAGTTACTGTACCGTTAGGTTTTTATATTTAAATATTTAACCCTGCACATAAAAATGCTTGAAAATTATTTTTCCTACGGAAAACTTGTTACTCAAAAAACCTTTGGGATCTCAAGTCTGGCGACAATATTTCTTTAAATTGTTCCGGACGTTTTCATTTCTACAATACTATTCATAACTCGAAGTGAGTGACCATTCATGTCGTTCACTTCTACTCTTTGTCAAAATAGAACTACAAACTTTTTTTCTCTTTAATAGCATACAACATGGATTAAATTTATATTTAACTCCCCCTTACTTATCATTGTGAAAATAGTAGGCTATATTTGATTAATCATTGTAATTAAAACTTTTACTCATGGTCTCGAATGAATTGAGGATGGACTCCGGGAATCAAAAGCTAGGTAATTTCAACGCAACGCAATCAGTCTCCATTCAGTCTCAAATACATTCTTTCCTATTTACATACCACTCACTCAGTTAGGGTAGTGGAGTATTTGATTTTCCGCCATCAACATTTATACCTATTATAGAACTAACTTAATGGAAGAATTAATAATATGAGATACTAAATATTCTGACACCGGCTACCTCATACTACACATTCACGCTAATAAATACATTGTCTATCAACAAACACTAGAGGACATGAAACAATATACCTATTAGTAGGCAACCGTGTTTGCTCCATTAATCAGAAAAGAGTACCAAAACTACTATCTGCCGAGGTCAAGCCCAATTCTAATGTCGGCTAGTATTCACACGTTTATTTATCTGCATGGAGCCACTTTCAATCAAAAACCTTTCTATACATGCCGGACACATAAGAGAGCTTTTGCCCAAAAGTAAGTGTATGTGTGTCAACCGATGGCCTATCCATGATCGGGTGTTAATGACCCTTCTTCTGCGACTAAGTTCCTCCTAGGGCCACTTATCATCAGTGCTCTTGATATATAATAGCTTCTCTGCCGATCCGGCTTTCTTTTAATCATGTTTTTAATACATTTTTCTCGTCAGAGAACCGAATCGGGGTGGTTAAGGCAGGGTGCTGAGATGTCCCGGCCTTGGCCGCCTTTTCATTACCTTCCATATCTATAGGTCCAGACCACAACCATCTTTTGCCGATATGCTATAGTTCGTGGTATCTCTTACAAGAACAAATTGATAAACATTTATAATATTCTGGTTAATATGCTTTCCCCTGGACGTATAATAAACATTGATCAAAATTTAAATAAATCATTATTCCATTCGTTATTTGTCCTTTGTCTGAATTGGAACGCAATTGTTTGAATATTCCGTCCAATTAGTTCCGATTCGGAAGCGAAGTCATAATTCTAAAAGATCGGTCGTGGATCCTCGAGTTGAAGATAAACGTTTCACGTTTTCGCAATAAAATGTTGATAACAAAATCAATAAAGAATGAAAACGCTCATAAGAAGCTTTTAGGTGGAGTGTGAGAGAATGTTGGAAAGTTATACTTTCAAACTTCGGCCATAAGGAAATAACCTTTGAAAATTTACAAGTCAGTTTGAAAATAAGATTATTGATCAAGCAATGTTTTTTTAATTATATTTACTAAGACGTTTAAAAATAATTTATTATTCTCAATTAACTAACATAAAAAAGGTCAAACGGTTGTTTTAGTTCAGCAATTGCACCAAATCTATTTACGTTCTGGCAATTCAGATGTGACGTCCTATGACCAACAGAAATTGAACGCAGATGTAAATGTTCAATTTACGATCCAGACAAGGTAAAGCACATTACATTTAAAGAGCAATTGGATTTATCTAATGGTTCATTGGTGTTGAATTTAATTTAAATATTAAAATGTATTTTTATCTTAACAAAAATTTATATTCACAAATTCTAATAAAAATTTAGATTGATACATATAAATAGAAACATTTGTTATGTGTGAACTCCTCTTACATGTCTGTCAGTCGGTCTACACCTTACATCGACTTTTTGCTGGAAGTAAAACTCATTCACGTCACCAAACCTTTCCGACCTGTTTGCAGAAGACCCATAGTGGTGGTAAATATGTATCTACCAACGCCCTTCAACAATATTATGCGTTAAAAAAGTTCAACCTTGACACATAAGAATTTCCTGGATAACAAGGAAAAAATAACAATATAGATACTTTGCGGAAAAAATGAGAAAAGGGAAGCTGACGAAACAATTAACAGTAATAATAATTACTGATTAAAAAACAATCAGAATTTAAAGTGTAAACAAGATATTTAGAGTTAAAGTTAAAAAAATAAACAAATACTTTTTGTAAGGGAGTAAAGTAAGCTTTTTTAAATGAACACAGCATCAGTTCCTTCCAGAGAGTTATGACCGTTTTCCGAAGAACAGCTGGATTTACCTGATTTCTATTCTAACTCCACTACTACTAAATAGATTTAAATTTTTATTATTTTTTCCTTTTTAAGAGAGGCTTTTGCTTGAACGTCAAAATTGAAAAATTTGTGTGCATTTCAGCAGCTCAAGGTTATTTAGTTGTTCAGAGGTCCAAAATTTACCATGTATGATTTCTAAATCTATTTCGTCTTTTGTTCAGCAAACTACGAGTTCGTAACCAGAGGTTTTTAAAAATAGTAGTTCGTCGGCAACAACCGAAAGTTGATTTTTTGTAGGTGAGGAACGGAAGAGTTCAGAAAATTGCACGGGAGAGTGGGAATCGAACCCACGACTGAGGGGTTTACGAACCGAGATTCTTCTAATACGCAAACCACTCGGCCACTGCGACTACTAGCTCTTCGAAAATGGTTTTTATGGCGACGGGGCATTTTGCAATGCCCACATCGACATAAAAGACCTCTTCCTCTAAGTAAATTTAATGTTTGGACTCTTAATGTATTTATAGGTGAACGTCTGATTTAGTTGAAAGCGAATGACTGTACCTCAACTATAACGCAACATTTTGGACTACTTGGAATTTGTAATAACTAGTTTTACGCAAATTTCGCCTCACTGAGTCACCATATTGTGATCAATATATTAATTTTTTTTCGTGACAAGAGTTGAATTATTATTATTAATAACCTAAAAAATTAGGCTTATTACCTGACGCAAACTTCTTACGGTGGCCTTTGAACATTTTCTTTTTATAAATGATAGCAAAATGGGGTAGCCCATGGTACAGGGAAGTCATAAACTTTAACATGGCTCTTTTCATGGTAGGACGAAAACGGGTAAATAGAATTGCCTCAGTTTTACTGTTATTAGGCTTGATTCGTTTCTTAAAAAAAATATTTGAAGCATTTTCTTAATGTGTTTACTAATTACTGATATAATCGATCCGATAAGAAGCCCTCATATAAACATATCATGGGCAAAAAGAGCCAGCTCCGATTTTAGTTGGGTTTACCCAGGTCATTTATAAAGATAACATGGTCGGACCAGAATCGACCTTTGGGTGCCCCCAGCTCTGATGATTTACATTCGTTTATTTGGACAAAACTTTGGCAGTAGTTAGTATGTTTTACATGACATGCAGAATAAATGTTGATAATACTTCAGTCACCTTTTGATTTGTACACTTTTGATTTTAGATTTAAAATGAAAATTCTATCCAGTTGGTGATAAATTTGTGCAACAAATGTAATTAAGATTTTCTCGAAAGTATAAAAATATCGACGAGCATTTGCACCATTTCAACTCTTGTTTGTTTTCTTTTATTTCTTTTTTATAATGGGCGTGAAGACTAATTGAAATGGCAGAAAAATGTTGTTCATTAAAATTGCCCCTTTGATTTTTCAACATTTGCAGAACGTGGTACGAGAAATTTTTAATTAACAACTCGCATTTTTCATTTGATCGATTATAAATCTCACCCCAATGTTTCAGTAAAAAAATTAAGGTTCGGTATAAATAAAGATTATAAATCACCAGGGGAAAATCATCAAATAATGGGTTATGGCTCAATATTATTGCTTTTCGCGAACTGTAAAGAGTAATTAAGTGTAATACATGGAATTTTCATTAGGCCCAGCCTATAATTAAAATTGAATTCATTCATATTTCAATAAACTGCCATTGCAGGAAAGAAAAAAAATCAATTCCCATCCAGCACAAAACATTAATGGTTAATTTTGAAATAAGAAGGTGTAAAAGGAAGTTGTTTAGATTCTGATTCTTCTACAATATATTAAATTTCCTAATTTCGTGGTCCGCTTGACCAATTATCTCAACTAGAAACCTTAATTAATTGTACAATATATTACTTTTACTTTCTATAAACCAAATCAAAAAATTAAAACACAATACCGGATAGACTGTTTTTGATTTACATGATAAAATTTAGGATCTAAAACAGGCAAAATTGGCTCTAAAGCATCCAGTTGTCTATTTATTTTTGGCATTTTTCAAGAAGATTTTGCATACGAACAACTAAGTAATTTTAATAAAAAGATAATTTTTGCGAAAAACACTTTTTATAATCGAATACATTAGTATAAAGGTCAAGTACCATTATAAAAGTAATGTAGATAGTGAAGACAATAATCAAAAG